TCTTTTTGCCCTCTTTACATACTTCACAGGTTGGGAAGATTCCAATGGTTTCTCCTCTCTGCCCAGCCTGCCGCCCCCCACCCCCCCCAACCCCACTGAAGGGCAGTGTTTTATTCCACTCTGGAGTGTACTCTTGGAGGGCAGCACTTGCCTTGTTCACTCCTGTACCCTCAGTGCTTAAATAATCACCCTCTGCTGCACAGTAGGTGCTCAATAAATATTTGTTGAATGGATGAGTAGATGCCCCTAAAGCTTAAAGGGGTTTCATGATTTCTGCAGTGAAATGAACACTGGGTTAAGGAGAGGACAGCTAACGGTCGACTCCTGCTTTGCATTAGTGGTCTCTAGGCCAAGGCCCTGGCTCTAGCCTGGCTGTGCGCCTGCCTCGCTGTGTGACCCCAGGGCAGGGCAGGGCAGGGCAGAGAAAGGACAGTGTGAAGGCCCACTCTTTGCCAGGCACTGGGTCAGGCTGGGGGGTGGGAGGTGGGGGGTAAACCCAGGCTCTTATTCTGTTCTCCTTCCTTGCAGGTTGGTCTTGGGGCAATCCCTCCATCTCTCCGAGCCTCAGTTTACCTAGCTGTAAAATCCACTCTAAAGTGAATAGCAGTCCTTCTTCCCTCGTCTAACAGCAGCAGCTGGGTGAGGAGACATGGCTGGCCTGTGACACAGGGGGCCTGGGTTTTTCTCCAGAGTCTATTCCCAGCCCCCCTCAGTTTGAGCGTCTGCTGTGAGCTGGGAGGCTGTAGTATAAGGAGAGAGGGGGTGAGGGGTGCGCCGGCGGCCTTCCTCAGCAGTGCGTGCCGGTGCGTGGAGGGGCTGCGTGGAACCAGAGGCAGCTCGTTGACCCCGGTAACCCCGTGTGATCTCAGGCAAGTTCCTCCTCTCCCCGGACCAAAGCGGCGTCTTCACTTATCCAAGGAGGGGCCGAGCGGCTTCTAGGGGCTCGGAGCTCCCAGCTGGGAGGCAGAAGACGCCTGAGCGCTCCGCCCGGCCTCAGTTTCCCCAGCTGCCGCACCACGTGATGTCTAAGGGCGCTTCCGGCTCAGAAAGAAAACAAGCAACAACCAGGCAGCCGTGACTCCGGGGCGGTCAGCGCTGGGGAGCGCGCGGCCACTCCCGGTGGGTCCCTCGCCCACGAGGGGCGGAGGGCAGGGTGGGGGGCAAAGGGCCCGCGGGGCCCGGAGGGCGGGAGCTCCCGCGTGGGGCCCGCGGGGTGGCGGCGGGAGTGGCCCCGGCGGGACCGGGCCCCTTACCTGGAAGCGAAGGCGGCGGCGGCTCGAAGGACACGGCGGCGCGGGCTCCTCCCGCCTCCCCCGGCGGCGGCGGCGGCCCGGCCACCCCGCGCTCCCCAGCGAGGCGCCGCCGCCCGGCCCGGCCTCGCCTCGGACGCCTCGCTCCGACATGCCCCGCTCTGGCGGCCGGGCTCGCGGAGGATCATGACTGCGGCAGCGAACTGGGTGGCGAACGGGGCGAGCCTGGAGGATTGTCACTCCAACCTCTTCTCGCTGGTGAGTAGCCGGGCGGCGGGGAGGGGGGCCGTGTCTGGGGGGGGGGTCCCCGACCTCCGCCGCCGAGCAACTTTCTCCTCCCGCCGCCGGGACTTCGCCCCTCCCTCGCCTCTCCCCGCCGTTCGCCTCTCGCCGATTCTCCCCCTTTTGGATCGTCTCTCCCTCGCCTTGGATCCCATCCAGTGTTTATTTGGCTCTTTAAAAATCATTTGTGAGCTCGGCGCTCGGCGTGGAATTTGCATGTGGAAGTCTCAAAGCTGCTGATTCTGGGTCGCACTTCGAACGCCCACCCTCTGTTGCAATCACACCCCCCTTCCCCTCCCCTTTTCTCCCCTTTTTTTCCTAAATGTGAAAGGCTTTGCCTTGTGCTGCCCGCGCCTGCGATAAGCAGCCTTCTTCCCCCCCCCCCACACACCCCTTGTCGGATCGGCTGCTCGTCCGCCCGCCTTTTGAAATTAAAAAAAAAAAAAATCCATAATGACACCTGCAATTTCGCCCGAAAACAGTTGATTGANAGCCCGCCCCGAGCGCGTCCAGGCCCGGCCGCCCGGCGGACACGAGTGGGAGTGGCGCGCTCCGGGCTCCGGCTCGCGGGCGGCGTGTCCTCACCCGGCGGGTCCCGCTGTCACCCGAGACAGGGGTGCCGGCATCAGGAAGTGACGGGCCGACCCGGGCGCGAAACTCCATGTGTGGGTAGAACCAGGAAGCGGCGGCACATCGGGGCGCGGGAGGGGGCCCCGCAAGGGTCGACTGCAGAAAAGGGCTCGCGAGGGCCTTGGCCCGGGAGGGAAGGAGCCAACAGTGACTTGGATGGACATCTTCCAAAGTAAATTTTGTAAAAATCAAAGAACCCGCCTCGGAAACACCCTTCCCGCATGTGTATATACAGCACTTGGAAGTTTACGGAGTGTTAAGGTATCTGTGCTCTCCGGGGTTTTTCTGTTTCTCTAGCGCTGACTTTGGTTTCAGTTTCAGGACCTTTGCATTGGAGGTGCTCATGCCTGGCTCTCTGCCCCAGGCCTTCTCCTTCCTGTGTGTTTCAGCTTTCCATGGCGGTGACCACTCAGGGTGGCATCTGGGAGTCTTCCCTGACTACCCAGCACATTCAGTCATTGAACAAATATTTACTGAGCACCTACTATGTGCCAGTGTGGGGGAATCACACCAAACTTTTGGTCCTTTTCTATTTAGTGACAGTATTCCTCACTCTGTGAAATCATTTTGTTCATTTTCCTGTGTCAGATTTATTACCTGCCATCCCCGCTAGAATTTAAAAGCCTGGAGAGTGTGAGTGTGTGTGTGGGGTCTTGGTTGCCTTGTCCAATGCTGTGTGCCCAGCCCCAGGGACTGTGCCAGGCACTTGGTAGGTGCTCAGAATCATTTAATGAATACACGGATGATCTTATTCCCCTAGCAAACCTATAAATTCTTGTCACATCCATTCTGCAGGACAGAAAACTGAGGCTCAGGTCCGGGCCATGCAGAAGCCATAGACCTAAGGAGTGCCAGACAGGGAACATGAATCATTGTGTCCACAAAGTCAGTTGCTCTTTCTCGGTGAAGACGGCCTAGGACCATGAATGGAAAAGGCAGTGGAGTGGATGTGGTCAGAGACTAGCTTCCAGTGTGGAATCTGTGACTCAGGACTTTGTAGAATGCTTTAGGCCTCCACCTCCTCATCTCCCCACTGGCCAATCAGGACCAAGAAGAGCCGCTCTGCCTACCTACAGGGCTGTGTGAGGGTCTAAGGGATCAATAGTGCACCCTTCAGGGGCTTAGCGGATTATATCTGAGCATGTGGGCCTTGCTGAGATGAAATATTAGCAACCATATGGAAGTGGATGCTAACAGAAAACCTCTAGCCAGCAGCCCTCCTCTCAATGTCTGGTGGCTCCTTCCAACCAGATTGGCTTTGTGGGACAAGGCATCACTCTGCACAATGGCTTTGTCATAGAGATCCTGTATTGAACACTCTTGACTCTGGGCATTGGATCCAGTTACAGCTGTGCCCACTGCTCACCCTTTACCCCTGTCACCCCTACTGAACAGCACACAGGACCTAATCCAAAATCAAGGCTACGGCAGGAAAGGTGTGGGAAAATATGTGTATCCCTCTGGTGTATGAGGTCTGACAATGGAGTTTGTGAACTTGTTGCAACAATGTTGCTAACCTTTTTTTGATATCACAGGGATTATTCATTATGAATTTGTATCAACTGGACAAACAGTTAACCAAGTTTACTATTTGGAAGTGCTGAAAAGTCTGCATGAAAAAGTTAGACAAAAACAACCTGAACTTTTCACCAACAATTCATGGCTGTTGCATCACGACAATGCACCAGTTCATACGGCTCTGTCTGTGAGGGAGTTTTTATTTTTTATTATTATTTTTTTAAAGTACAACTATTATATTTTAATTTCTATGTCCTCTGAAATCTCTAAAAAACAGTTTTTGTGAATACATTTCAAATTTACCCTGTGAGGCTAAACAGGATCAAATATGGTGATGAAAGGAGAACAGACTCTGGGTGGTGAACACACAATGTGATATATAGATGATGTATTACAGAATTGTACACCTGAAACCTATGTAACTTTCCTAACCATTGTCACCCCAATAAACTTTAATTAAAAAAGATTTACCCTGTGATAAGTGAAAATTATAAATACAAGCACTTATACTCATGGGAATGCTGGAACAAGACCTCCCAATTACACCTCCGAAGTGTCTCTGTAATAACGTCTCTGCCATTCCCACTCTTGAGACCCAGGCCAACAGTCAACATGCCTGGTCCGGTTCTGTGAGGGAGTTTTTAGCCAGTAAACAAATAACTGTATTGGGACACCCTACCTACTCACCTGATCTGGCCCCCAATGACTTCTTTCTTTACCCAAAGGTAAAGGAAATATTGAAAGGAAGACATTTTGATGACATTCAGGACATCAAAGGTAATGCAACGACAGCTCTGATGGCCATTGCAGAAAAAGAGTTCCAAAATTGCTTTGAAGGGTGGACTAGGCACTGGCCTCGGTGCACAGCTTCCCAGAGGAGTACTTTGAAGGTGACTGTAGTGATATTCAGCAGTGAGGTATGTAGCACTTTTTCTAGGATGAGTTCGCGAACTTAACTGTCCGACCTCATAGGTCTTCGACATTTTTGAGGTTTGTTGAACATTGTGGAATTACTTATTCTTAGTAAAAGATACTTCTACTAAGATGTCTTCTATCACCTCCGCCCAAAGGAATGTTTAGGGAGTTGTGCTGCAAGGAGAAACCTTTTCATAACCACTAACTAGTTCAACCAGAATTTACTGAGTAGTGGGTGAGGTTCTAGGCATTGTAGATACAACAAGGGAAAGACTGAGGCTTGGGCCCAGGTTGCCAGATTTAGCAAATAAAAATACAGGACGCCCAGTTACATTTGAATTTCAGATACACAACAAATAAGTACTTTTTTTAGTAGGAGTATGTCTTAATATTGCCGAGGACAGAGTTATACTAAAAAAGTATCCGTTGTGTATCTGCAATTCAAATGTAACTGGGTGTCCTGTCTTTTATCTGGCAACCCTACTTGAGCCGCATCCCTAGAGACTCTGATTCTGCTTGTCTGGGGTTAGGCCACGCATAGGTGGTGTTCACAAGCTCACCAAGTATTTTAATGTGTGCCCAGCATCAGGAACCACCGATGGAGGGCTTGTCTATGGATTTTATTCTGGGTGAGATGGAGAGTTGTAGAGGGTTTGAGGCAGTGACATGATCTCATCTTTTAAAAGGATCTCACTGGCTCCTTGTGAACAGAGAGAGAAGAGTAGACACAGGCAACCAGTTAGGAAGCTGTTATAATAGAGGCCTGGGAAGGGGCCTGGATTTGTTGAGGGCCTACTATGGGCTAGGCACAATAAAAATATATAACGGAGGCATAGGTTCCTGGGTTCCTAGATTAATTTCTCCCAGAAATTATAAAACTAGCCATGAATACTGTTTAGCAGCATTAACCTTGTGGCTGGCTCTGCATGTTTTCCATACAGACTTTATATCATATAATCCTATGCAGTTTATACGATTCTTAGCCCCATTACACAGAGGAAGGAACTGAGGCTCAGGGAGGTTAAAAAACTTAGCCAGGGTCATCAAGCTACAAGATGCCTGGACCTGGCAGATTCTGCTGTCCTGCCCTCCCATAGGCTTAAATATCAATACAGGTTCAGAGATATTTAGATGAGTTTGGATAATGATCCCCAGCAGGATGAGTTGCAGATCATAGATCCCCGGGAGGGGATGGCTTCTTTGCTATGTCCCATAGATGTCCATCCTTCCAGACCTGATCTGGCCTGGGTGTTCTTTGAATGGAACTGAATTGTGCTGTGAGATCACTGAAGGCAGCCTCACATCCCTTCCCGAAGAGCATCTTTATGATACCGTCATGCTGAACTTAAGACTGAATGACTCAGAAGATGATTTATGGTCACTTCTTTTCTAACGACGTGCAGACGTACACCCTCAGACGTAAACAGGGTTCCCTTGGGGAGGGACTGGATACGCCTTCAGAGAAAGGCCAGGGTGGAGTGTTGCAGAAGGTTTGTGGTTACCATGGATATTGTTACATTGCTAAGCAATCTCTTGTTTATGTTTCCAAGGCATCTTTGACCCGAAGAACTTAAAGTCTTTTTGTTCATTGGACCATCAACTGGACTTGGCTAAACTAAGTGGCAGGGTTTGGGGGTCAAAACCACTTGGGTTAATATTTTCCCCCACTATTCTATTGTGTTAGGTAATAATTTTGTAGTTCTCTACCTTATC